ACACACACACACACGCACACATACACAAACCAAGAGATTTGTTTGCTCTTCCGTACAATCAGTTGGCCAAACATTCAGGACACTGGATGTTGAAGGTTTTACTGCGGTTCTTTCGTTCACAACCGGCGCGCGGCGCGGATTTCAACAAAACTCGAAAATGCCAAGTTTTTGTTTTCGTCTATTTCTGTCTCCCTGCGGAGAGTGACAATTTCAAAAAATTCCGGTTTTCAACCTCACCTCGCTCTCCCGTTCTCCCGCGTGTCGTAAAAAAAGAAATTACATTTATCACGCCGACGATTAAATAATTTTTATTAAAAATTTCTACACGTTCCGAACCGTTTGTCGATCGATATAAAGATGTGTATCGCGTTTGTCGCTTGAAAAGCGGCGTGTCCAAAGGGATCTCTCCGGATTTCGTGATCCCGGATGGCGCGAGGACCGAAGAGAAGGGGGACAAGCGCGGCGGCACGAGGGGGGAACGCGAGGACGAGAGAAGAGACGCGCGGCGGCGGCGGCGGCGTGTGCAGGTTCGTGATTCGAAGTAGGTGGGCCCCAGGTAGCCAGGACAGATAACACCCGGAGATTACCGCGGACAGAGTCATTAGCAGCGTCGGCTTCTGTGTCGGCCAAGATATTCTCTCACTTTCCTCCCCTGCCGTCTCTCTTTCCGTTCTCTCCGCGCTTCCTCGCCGCCCTCACCGCACCGCCGCCGCCGCCGCCGTGCGGTTTTATCTGGCCGGTCAATTCACGCGGCACGATATACACACCGGACCGCTTCAGATCCTACCACTTACTTTCCATCGCGTCCGACCACCTTCTTTCTATTCCCCCTTTACTCTCTCACTCTCTCCCTTTCTTTCTCCCTCTCTCTTCTTGTTCACTCTTTTTCTTTCCCGCGCATTTTGCGATACCAACTCTCCTCCTCCCCTCTCCTCCTTCGCGAAGCGATATCCTCCATCTTCCCTCGGTTCCGCTTCTTTTTATTTTCCCTCTCTCGCCGCCGACATGTTGCACGGACAAAATGCACCGCGAAAGACGCGCATTCGCCGCGCTCGAGCGAGCCCAGATTAGAGCCCGGAGAAATACTAATTGCTCCGATCGGCGTTCGCACATATTTTCCACGGCGCCAGAGGCGTGTCGAGGCCGAAGGTCCACGAGAAACGAGATAGAGACGAGGGGACTCCGCCGGCCGGGGGCGTCGCGCAAAGAGTGGCCGGAAGAGGAAAGGGGGCGAGGGGACACAGCGACGATGGGAGCAGGGAGAGAGAGAAAGAAAAAAAAAAGAAGAAGTATTTCGGCTTTGATAGACTAATGACAAACGCCTAGATTGTCGGCTTATCACCCAGCTAGCGCTAATTATTTCCTCTTTGTGCCGCGCCGCGCATAATGGCGTTCAACGGCGCGGGAACGTGCGAGAGCTCTCTTCTTCTTTCTTTCTATCTTTTGCGCGTACGCGTGCATTTACACGCACGAGCGTGTGTTGTCGGCAAATTTTATTTGTTACATACGCGACTCTCTCCCGCGCCGCGGATTGGATGGCGCGTTACGGTCTCTTCCATTTCTGCCATTACGCCCGTCGCGTGATTATCGGTCGATTCTGTTCACACAGATAAAAAGAGAGAGAGAGAGAGAGAGAATCGGACCTTTGGCCCCTCGACATCTGTGCCTCGGCGGAGACAACGACGATTTCTATTTTTCTCGCGTCTTTCACAGCGCAAACTTTCGTCTTCTCGCACGCCAATCAACTTTTCCGTGTAATTTTTTTTACGAATGAGATAAAATTCCGGGGGGGGGAGGGGGGAAGTAACGACGGCTGTTGTGACACGTCATTAAGAAGCGATTTTATTGTTTTGGGAATTTTTAAACGAACGCGCTATAAAACTATTAAGAACTTTTCTCTTTCTTTTTCTCTATCTCTTTCTGTCGAAAAGCAGAGAGAGTTTGGAAACTTTTCCGCCGGGCTAATGTATTTGCTCCCACTTTGAGGAGCCATATAATCCTTTGGTCGTCGCCGTTTCCCTCGGGCGTTTTCAAACACAGCAGTTTTCGCGACTCGCTAAAGGACACACGTAGCATTTTAGTGGGTCTCGCTTCTCGAGAACATTTTTCACAACCGCGTAACTTCCCATTTTCGAGAGGTAATTATCCCCGTGGATTCGCGAACGAAATGCCGTTTGTACGGCACAAACAGATTTATCGGCCAAACGCGTTGCGGATGCGTCCGTTCGTTCGTTCGTTTCTTCGACGGAATGTCTCCCCTCTGCTATCTTGTTAGTCGCTATCCCCAAAGCAAAGCGACGTCCTCGAGTTGGTATCTGCATAAAAAACGGAAGGGCGAGCGGTGCGAGGGGGAAGATCGAATGATAAAAGAACACGAAAAGAGTGAAAATGGGGGAGCCTCGAAATCAACCTGGCGTCGAAAAATCGGGATTATAAAAACACTTTTTAATCGTTCCTCTCTCTCTCTCTCTCTCTCTCTCTTTCTCCTCCTTCCATTCAAAGACTTGTCATTTATCTCACAATTTGCAATTAGCGAGAACGTACGCGATTGACGAAAATTAATTATCATATATATGTAAATCTTCTATTCTCAGAAGAGATGAGGTGAGAGAGAGAGAGAGAGAAGTGCTTCCGCACACTTTGCATTATATAATAATCTGACTTCTCCGCGAATTAATTATCCCCCAGAGCACACTGCGAAAATATATTTTAAGGTTTCCGCGAAACGATTCTTGTCTTCCTGGGTTTCTCTAGTTCACAGAAGACTAAGCCGCATCGGTGCGCTTTAACGATATAATCGTTTGCAATTAAACGATACGACGAAAATTCCGAGTGGATGGGGTGGTGTGGTACGTGAAATTTACGCGTCGTTTTGTGTTAAAGAGCTTGTAATTCAAAGTGCTTCGTTACATTTTTAACTCCCACGCGCACACATACACACACTCGAGTTCTCACAAAACTCGTTTCGGGCCGTGAGGTTTTCGAGATCTGATTGAAGACAAACCGCAACAATCTTGAATAATAAATGTTCCCTGTGACGAAGGTGAGGATTCCTTTAAAAGAACGGCATCGCGATCCTCTCTCGCGCGGATGAACCGGTTCTGACGCTACATTGAAATTAATCTCGCTCCCTCGCCTACGTACGTACGTACGTACGATGCAGTCACGATGCGCGAGTGATAAGCGCGGGTATTGATGTACTTTATTTGCCAAAGTGGCAGCGTGACTGCGGATTCCGTTGAATTAATAAGGGAATTCGATTGCGAGCAGTCGAGAGAGAGAGAGAGAGAGAGAAAGAGAGAAAGAGCAAACGAGCGACCGATATATCTCCAGAATACGGTCCGGTGGCCATGGGTTCGAATTCTATCGATTGCTTGTGTGTATGTGTATGTGTGTGTGTATACACGCCGATAACTAGCGTATAAATTATGCCGATGCGTGGCCGATTGAGGTCTGACCCCGTAAATATAACACGGAAGACCCCGTCGGATTCTCGAAAATCCATCTTCGTACACGAGCTTTCGTGGTGCTGGAATCGAGAGAGCGCGGATGACACGACTTCCGGCGATCAATCGATCGTCCGCCGCTCATGACGCCCGGTAATTTGCTCGTTACCACTCACGTATTAATCTCTTTCTCTCTCTCTTTCTCTCTCTCTCTCTCTCTCTCTTTCCTTTTACGCATGCGACGCGAACGCGTGCGACTGGCTAAATACGCGCGCGTGTTCGACCTTTTTGTTTTGCGTGCCGGAATATTCTGAAACGGCCTTTCGCGAATATATCGCGAATAATAAAAGCAACACACGCGTGTGCACGCGGGGCGGCAGCAAATTTGCTCGTTCGCGACGTTGAGCGACTCGACGCGCGCGCATAAATTAACTCGCGTCCGTTAAACAAGATCGATGGGTGGCGGCGCGCGTTCGCGACCATGGAGTGTAACGCTTTAATATCGCGGAATGAAACCGATAAACGATCCGTAATTGGGAAGTTCGTTATTCCAATAATAGTTGAACAAATTTGTATTATAACGCTAAACAGTGGCAATCCGGCGCTAACTGCGGCGCCAAATCGGCGCGTACAACGTCGTTTATGTATGCGCCGCGCGTCGCAAGGTAAATAAACGCAACGTTTTATCATAGTCAATTTCTGTCAATTAGCAAGTTTAGCGGACGCTAATAAAGAGAATGTCTCCGACAAATAATTACGCTCGCTCGTGTGTGTAAATATGTAACCGCGATCGTCATCGTCGGCGCGCGGCCGATAAAACCGCCGCGCGCTCGAAAAGCTCAATTGCGTTATGTAGACTTTTGTATCGATTCGCGCCCAGACGACCCGGCGTGAATGCATCACCGCCGCGATGTAACGGCGTCGTCGAGGGGAGGGAAAAGGGCTTTTGCCTCCCGTTCCTTCTTGGTTCCGCGCACGAAACTCGGTGAAATACTCGCGCACGAAGATTAATTAAACGAAGGGAAAGGAGTAACGTGTGTGCGCCGCCTTCCTCTCCCGTTTTCTGATTTTGTGATTAACGGCAACACCTTCTTGACACTCTTTTTAATCCCTGACGTATCTTTCTTCGTATTTTTCTTCGTGCAAAATCGCCCTCTCGTGTTCTCCGCTTTTGTTTCTTAATTTCGCATCGTGCGCTGTAGAAAAAGAGAGCGAGCGAGAAAGAGAGAGAGAGAGAGAGAGTGAGCGAGTGAGTGAAAGAGAGAAAGAAAGGAATATCACTTTCAGACCGCGGTCGCAATACATCTGACGCTTCGTGACTCAAATTGAAGTATCGCGAATATTTCGATGATTAGAAAATATTCAAAATATAATCGAAAAAATTTTATATAAAATATTACTTGTCAAAATGTATAAAATTCAGATTAAAGACAAGAAAAATCGCGACTGGTCTGGAAGTGCGACAAAAAACGAAGCGAAGTAATTGCAAACGCTATTCGCCGGTGTTAGCATAAAACAATCTGTCCCAATGTATGCTCCCCTCATTTGTTACAGACGATACTGAACTCGATGCACAAGTATCAGCCGAGGTTTCACCTCGTGCGAGCCAACGACATCCTGAAGCTTCCTTACTCGACGTTCAGAAGTTATGTTTTCAAGGAAACGGAGTTCATCGCCGTGACGGCCTACCAAAACGAGAAGGTAAGCGGTACATAATTCTCCCCTAAATTCTTCTCTCACCTGTTGTGTTTCAAAAATTCTAAATTTAAACCGTCAGAATTCAAGTTCTAAATTTAGACCGCCATCAGTTCAATCTCACGTATAATAAAACCACAGATTCTGTACTTTATGACGCCTGAAAAAAAAAAAAACAAAAAACAAAAAAAGAGAACTGGAACACAACTTACTGTCTGTCTTGTCGCGCGTAAATCTTCGCAAAGAATTATTGTTTGTGAAAAATCTGATCCGGAATTCCTGTTGTTCGCTAAAAGTTCGTCACCTCGAGTTCAGGAGGGAATAGTAAAATTTACGCGTAACGAGCGAGAGAGAATTCGCCAGGGAGGAACAATCTTTTCGATCTAAAACGGACGGACCCCGTGTGTTTTGTCTCTTTTGTAAACTTCCTTAATTAATATTTCCCCCGTCGCGGCAGTTCTCCCGTTTTTTTGATGATAAAACCACGGACGCGCGACAACGTTTCGTGGAATAACGAATTTTCTCGGTACGCATTATTTTCGACGGTGAATGAGAGTTGCTCATACGCGCGCACGTGGCCGTGTATGTGAAAGAAAAGGGCCTTTTACAGATTTTTAGTAGTAGGCCGCGCTCGAGCGTGCGTACATACGCGATTACATATATTACATGCTTTTTTATCTTAATTATCGCGCCTTCTCGGTACGTCGGTCGCGAATAATTAATTAGAAGAGAGCAAATCAACAAAGAGTATCGAAGTTCGAAAGTCTCGTCTCTGTGGGAACTGACCTCCCCTCAGTGACAAAGAAGTGCTTTAATTCAATCAATGTTCTTGAAATCCGCATAATAGTTGAAAAAGTTAACAAACAAAAGTATTTTTTTTTTTTATTCTAGATCACTCAGCTGAAGATCGATAACAATCCTTTCGCCAAAGGATTTCGGGATACCGGCGCGGGGAAGCGCGAGAAAAAGTGAGTATCGCTTTCAAAACTTCATTTTTCATCAGCGCGTCATATCTTTCGAGATTTTTTTCTTCCACGAGCGAAGAAGCTGTTTCGTACGCGCTTTTGCAAAATTAAATTAAATTTGATTTAATTTTCTGCGCGTGTGAAAAAAATACACGCGCGCGTAAACAATTTGAATAAAACCAGGAAAGACGCAAAGTAGATTGAGTATTTCGCAAAGAGTATTTCTTGCGAAAAGCAAAAAAAAAAAAAAAAAAGAGAACAACAAATAATAAAACTCGCACGAATATTCGCATTAGTGTTTGAGACGCGTTAAAAACTACCCTAAATGCAAAGCAGGGTCGTGCCCTTCACGAATCACGCTTCGTGAAGAGTAAAGAGCCGCGAATCCGTCTTCGGGGTCTACCTAATTGATCGTAGGACCTTTCGAGCTTCCCCTCGATCGGGCGCTATTATGCCCGACCTTAGGGTCATCCCCGAAGCCAAGGGTTGGTTTCACAGGGCTCATTTGCACTCCGCATCGCCGGCAGTGGTGCCGTCCATTTGTATTCAATATTGCGGGTTTATGAGCTTATGTTGGCAAGCACTCCCTCCGGGAGAGAATGCTCCTCGGTTGTTAGATCGCGGATCGTGCCGCTATGGAAACCCATTTCGATCTTCATTGGTCGAGCGGAGGATAAGGGACGGGTCGCGCGGATGAGATTCAAGTGGGTTTTAATGAAATCAAATCGCTATGCATAACAATTTAAGCCGCTCTCTTTCCCAATCCTCCGCCTTGTGCGCAAAAATTGCGCGAATCGAATCTTCTTGTCGTTTCGCGATAAGAAAAGAAAAAACGGAAAGAGGAAAAAAAACAAAATTCGTTGATTAGAAAATTTTCGGAAAATTGCGCGACGGTCTTCCGACGACGACGACGACGACGACGACGTCGACGACGACGACGTCGAGCGGATAAAGAAAGGGCGAGGTTAATCGAGAAAATATGCAAAGCAGGGGGCGCGTCACCGCGGCACCGCCTAATTAGAATAAGGGTTAGTTTTGGCTTATGGTTTCGGTTAAGGGTGGTTGGATGCCATCAGGAAGCCACAGGGAAACTAAAGAGAGAAAGGGCGAGAGAAAGCGAGAGAAAGATAGAGAATGGTTGAAGCGGGAAAACAGCCGAGCGAGCGGAGGCGGAAGAAGGGACGAAGAGACGCGTCGCGAGAGAAAGAGAGTGGCGCGACGAGAGCAGGATCGGGGTTGGAACATAGCCAATCATCGGATTAGCATACTGATGCTCAGGGGCGGCGCTGTCGTTAACGTGGAGGGTGCCACTCTTGGCAGCTTTGAATTTTATATTGGCCCTACAGATCGTTTTGTGGCTGCATAAAGACTGAGCTTCGAGAGCGCGAGCGCTTTTCATCTTTTATACGCACTGACCCCGATCGCGCGTGTACAGTTCTGTAATGCGCTAAACCGATAGTAGCGTTCGATATTGACGGGGGAGAGTGAAAGCATGAAAGCGCGAAAAGATAAACGATGACCGAACAAAATTGCAACGAAATTGTTACATTCGGAGAATAAACACAATTCCGCGGCTCGGATTATCGGCTCTTATAATTGAGATATATGTATATTTCTTCACCTCTCGAGATGCACGTGAAAATTGCGCGCGATCACACACATCGAGGAAACGCGGCCGATCCGATGTGGCGTACGTTAAAAAGCCGTGACAGCTGTTCCACATTGTTTCGTTAATTTTTTTAACAACGCCCGACGCGTTCGTCACGAGACGTAGCACCACTCGAGCGTGACGGACTCGATTTGTTACGCCGCTTAAAAAATAGTCACAAGACAAAAAGAACACCGCGCGCGCGCGCGCGCACACACACACACACGAGGAAAGAACCGCTGCTGCGGTGCGGTGAGTGTCATGTCGTTTATCATCATGCACACACCGCAGAAAGATCGCATTGCGATACGCGGCGAATTAACCCGTTCGCTCGTGAAACGCTCCCTCACGATCCCCGTGCGCGTTTAATGCACATATAATGCAAAACGATATGTATATACATATTTCCTAACGGCTCATTAGCGCCGTTGTTAAATTAATAGCCGCGACACTAGCTGTTGTCTCTACGCGGGTTATAATATTCACGGATCCGATTGTATCCGATTGTTCTCTTTCGCAAACACGTTCTTCGATTAATGAGCGCGAGGAATCGAGGATGAGAAGGCGGCGCCGCGCGCGTCGGGAAATCCGGACGGAGAAGCCGCGCGCGAGTTTTACTTAACTTTTGCAGTTAATTATATTATCCCCGCAGAGAGAGCGTGCGCGCGCGCGCGCGCGCGGGAATCGTTGGGATTCCAGCGCGTTCTCCGCATTGCAACAAAGCATTCCTTCGAGGTGTAATTATACTAGCCCCCGGGGGCTTTATATCCCCGATGTTCGTTGGAAAAATATCCGTCTTGCCTCATCGAGTAATCTCGTTGGCTCATTAGCGCTCGGAGCGATACTCGCGCGCGCGCGCGCGCGCGCGCACGCGGTTGGTGTAGAATAATTTTGCAAGAAATTTCAGAATTTTTCAAGTTTCTTGTTTATTATTATTTGCGCGTTCTTTGGCAAAGTGTCAATATTTGTACGACCTGCTGCGTATCTTCAACCAAAAAGCAGCTCTCGCGCGCTTTCTATACTCTCGTCAACGCTAATACACGTTTGCGCAATATATCTTTCGATTATTTACAGATACATAATTCGCGCGACGCAAGATAGTGCCTCTTTTTTTTTTTTTTTTTATTTCCGCGCGAAACCTTTTTCCGAAAAGCGCCTCTCTTCGCGCGCCTGATTCGTCTCGCAACCGCGCCGAGCCGAGATATTCGATTTCCGCAACCCTAATCCAGAATTAATTGGTGGCGCGCGCGCGGATCCTTCCAGCGAGCTCGAACAAAATTTCCTGGAAACGTTCCTAATCACGCAAAGGAAACTCGACGGTACGTTCGTTTCTATCCCCGTCGACAATCGAGTCGAATGACGAGAAGGAGGGGCGGGGTGAGAGGGGAAAGGGATCTCGGGCAAATCTAATGCATCGTCTCGTGCAGGCTGAACAAACCTAAGCCTCGTGTAAGTCTCGGCTATAGCTGTTCGCACAACGAGAGGCTTACCGGTGCCTTAATGCCATGTAATGCGATCAGTTCACCAACACAGAGGCGCGCGCTTTTCGTTCGTTTGTTCGCTCGCCTCGTCCGCCGAGGAGGAGGCGCATCATTTGTGGATGCATCCGTGACATGCACTCGTTGCAGCGCGTTGAAAAGGTGTGCAGGCTCTCTGGTTTCCGTACGTAAGTGCGAGAGCCGCGCTAAATCAATAGTTCACCGCGCGCGCCCGCAATGTACACGTACGATTCTCAAGCTAAGTCCTCTGTGTGTGCGTGTGTGTGTGTATAGACTCTCAAAAAAAGAGATATTTTATTTGTTCACGCGGAGATCGATGCGGTTAATTATTTTTTCGTTGTTTACGCGCCGGATGCGGGAGTAAATTAAATCCGCAACACAAACAAGTCAGGAGAAAGAAAATTAATAATGAGCAATTTGAATGCGGTGTTTGATCGTAAAAATCTTTCGGTCTCTTGTGTATCCGAAAATTTCATTAATTAACTAATGCAATAACACGTTTTTTCTCCACGGCGCGCAAAAATCGAGCGGGAGAGAAGCGCGGTTCTTTTTTGTTTTAAATTTTTTTCTATTTTTCAAGAAATCACGACGAGGATGCGATCATCGCGAGGCGATCGCGGCCACCACGCGATATCGCCGCGCGGCGGATTGTGAAAAATGATCGTGACTCCGATCCGCGAGTCCGGGATTGGATACAGACAGCTATACGGACATCAGTGCGATAAATCACAATCCGCATCTACGCGCACCTCTCTGCTCGCGGAAAAAAAAGTCTCTTTGTGTCCGTACCGCGACGCGCCGAGCGCAATATAATCGTGTCGCGCGTATATCTTCGGTGCGTTCTATCGACACGCCGCGCGTTTAATGCGAAACGCTCTTGCGCGCATACACACACACACACATATTTATGTGCGCGCGTACACGAGGTGCACCGAGCGTTCTCTCGCTCTTTCTCTCTTTCTGAGTCTGGTTATAAGTGTAAATAGCCGGGAGTGGCGTAAAGTTAAAGCGCACGTGAAGGCAACGCACGCGCGAGCAAACGCTAGAGACTCGCCGCATAGGAAAGGCGTTGAAGGCGCAATTAAGATAATTAATCTAATACCACGGCCGCGCCTCGAGGCGATACGGCTACCGGTGCTCGCATAAATCCCGAGGCCTATAGCCTGGCGTACACGTTGCCGCGCGATCAGACCCCGCGTGAATTATCGCCACGGACGAGCAAGACCGTGCAACGAGTCGCGCAACGCCGCAAAACAGAAGCCGCGTCGGAGAGCGGCCTTTTGATTTTCCTCGACACAATAACTCTCTCTGTCTCCTCTCGGACTCGCGCCTGTTTTCCTCGCGAGAATCTGCGACGCGCGCTGTCTGTAACAAGCGTGATATTTTATTCGCGCGGAAATCCGCGTAGTTTTTTTTTTTTTTTTTTTATTCGCGAGATAGCGCGAATTCCGCGAAATTTTATTTAAAACAAAAAATAAATACACTCGAGGTCATCACGTTGCGTTCTGAAGATCGACTAGTTTTCCGATCGAGACGTTTGCGCTGAAAAAAACGAAATTCAGAAACGACGTAACGTCGGAATTGCCGCTGCCAAGTGAGGAAAGTAACTTTATCACCGGTCCCGCTCGTTATAATCTCGCAACCAATTACAGTGCGGGCATTTGCACGTCTCGAAAGATCGTCAGCTTGCGAGCGTCGATAAATCATATCGAAATAGACGGCAAAACCCGGTGGTCGCTGGCGTTCTCTCTGTAACGACTGATAACCAACCACGCCTTTTCATAAATCAATAATCAATCTGTAAACATAAGATATCGCGTTGGTTCACAGTTTTTATGGCGATACGTATGGATTTGTCAGTGTTAATTTACGATTTAATTTGTGCGAGATACGATCGGCGCGATGCAATTTCATCTTGAGAAAAACATGTGCGTGTAGTGCGGGAAAATTTTCTGCTCTGATGAGAAAAGAATACGGAACGCGTAAGAGGTGAACGCGAATCTCGCAAGATTGCTAACTCCGTGTATTTGTTGCAGAAGGCAGGCGCTACTGACAGTATCGGGCGGCGGTTCCCGTTTGACGGCGGGTGGACCAGCGTCGCCTGACAAGCGACGCTCATCGAACTCCGCCAACGATCTCATGGACGACGAAGACAAGCTGCTGGACGTGGTCGGGCCCGACACGCCGCATCCGGCTCATCATCATCGCGAACGAGAGCATTCCCGCGAGAGGGACGATCGAACGAGCGAGCGGGGTGAGGGCAGCGAGTCGTCCGGATCCGAGAGCGGCGGCGGGCCGGGCCCGACAGGATCCGAAGGTCCCCGACCCGACGTTTCCGTCGGCCCGCCGCTTCACCCACCTCTGCTACCGTATTTGTATCCCCCCGTACCCGGACTGTATCCAGGCCCAGGTCCCCTGATCCCACCCACTCCTCTGGGACTCCACGGCGGAGTCACACCTGGTATGCTGTTCAACGCCCAGCTGGCTCTAGCGGCCTCTCAGCATCCGGCACTATTCGCGCACTATCCCCATCCTTTGGCCAGTCCCCTGCACCAGTTAAAGGGACACAGATTCGCACCCTATACGTTACCGGCGCCCTCGCACGGTTCCGCTTTTGAGACTGTTACACCGGGCAGCAGAACCCTGAGTCCGCGATCGCCGCCGCCGAGGCCGCCAACCAATTCTCCGACACCTACCGGCGGCGGCGGTCTAACCTCGACGACGCCAAGCTCCGCCGGCGAGCTCAAGTCCATCGAGAACATGGTGAACGGTCTGCAGGAGAAGAGACGGCGGAGTCCCAGTTTGACGCCCGGCCATCGGGGCGACGACGCAGGCGGGGGGAGTCCGTGACAGGAGAACGAGCCTGTGAGCAGTACGAAGGACGACGACCCCGACGAGGACGAGGACAGCGCTGACGAGTCCGGCAGCGACCCGGAGGATATCTCCGCCGACGAAAGGGAGCCGGACTCCACGTCGGAGCCGTCGTAGCGGCGGGAACGTCGGCACTCAATACGCTCTGCCTTCTCCTCGTCCTACCACTTGGGAGTCCCGGGACTCTCGCTGGACGCGTCGAACGGACGCGGGGAAGGCCGGACTCTCATACTACAAAGTGCAATTTTATTTCCGGAGCGACGCCGCGCTCGTGAGAAGTCGCCGTGCTTTCGGGACGGAACGAGAAGTCCCTCGCGCGTTTCCTGTATCTGTAAATAGACCCGTTCGCGCGATAAAGAGCGCGATCGTCAGAAGAGCGTGTGCGTCATCCGTTAAACAAAAACTGCGACGCGCGGAGGGAACGACGCGTTGGACCCTCGGACGGACGTTGCGCCGATTTGCGCGGTTATTGTAAATTAAAACATGAGACGCGCAAGAAACAAAAAAAAAGGGTGAATGCGATAGGCGGAAGAAGTGAATGTGAGGGAGAGAGTCTGCGAGCGCGTACACCCACGTGAATCCACTTGTAAGTCCACGTTCCACCTGTGTACGTCTTAAAGGACGAGACAAAAAAAAAAAAAAAAAAGAAAAAAAAAGAAAAACGATATTGCAATATAAGAGCACCTCCTATTATTTGCAGTCCCCCTGTGTACATATGTACCCTAGTGATATTATATATTATATATTATATTATATATATAAATATTATATATATATAAATATATATAAATATAACATCCCCTCTCTAAAACAAAAAAAAATAAAATAAAATCTCTGTGTATACTAATTATTAAATATATTATTATATTATATATATACAAATATATATAACGATTTAGAGACGTAATATCGCATAAACGCACGCTCTGCCCGATTTACGCCTCGAAACCACACAAGCAACGCGCAAGAAGAGAATTTCAAATCCGATTCAGAAAAACCTCTCGAGGCCCGAGTCGACGACCTGCGAAAGCGCGCGACGAACTGCGGAAACTTTCGGTTTTAGCGTTTTCCTTGGGATATAATCTCGTTCTCCAAAATTTCACGTCATTCCCGGAGACTCTCGCGTCCTTTAAGAAGTGCGTCGCAAGGTCGAACGTCGTCGGTCGAAGCGATTCCAATGGGCGTTTTTTTTTCTTTTTGTTTTCCGATTCGTTTAACTCGAGCAACCGTCGGCCATTGCTTCCGACGCGCGACTCGTGCGTTTCTTCGTTCACGAACTGTGTGTGAGGAGGAAAAACTTCTCGCCACACCTCGCGCTCTCGACGATCTTCCTCGCAACTTTACGGATAATCTATTTCCTTCGCTTCTTTACATCGGAACAGATCGAGCTTGTGATTGTTGTTATATATAAATATTAATTTTTGCGTCCCGAATATCGCGCAACACGTACAGATTGAATTTATTTTATTATGTAAGAGTATGTTTTTTTATTTCCTTCCAAAACACGAGATTTTATTTTGAAAACATCTTCAAGGTCGCAGCAATCAGAAGCCAGATCTGATCGACGGTTGTATATACAAATAGTAGCGATCCGCGCGCGGTGTAGATAATTACTAAACATAATAATAGAACGTCGAATAAAGTTAAAATCAATTCATGCGAGTCACTTTAGGAAGGCAGAAAAGAGCGTTATCACGAACTGCTAATACGTACGTAACAATAGCGACGGTCGAAAGAGTCAAAAAAAAAAAACAAAAAACAAACAACACACGACGGAGTGGGAGATAACGGGTGATTTAAGACGAAATTGCGCGGTATCTCGCGAAAGAGAACGTAGCGCGGCGGTTTTATTTTGTTTTCGTTGTTTTTTTTTTTTTTTTTTTTTTTTCAAAGAAATCGTTTCCGAGAATGGAAAGCCGTTATCGTTTGCACGCACAATGCGAATGCACGAGCGCGCTGCACGTTCCGAAAAACAACCGCGAAAAAAAAACCACCAATCGGAAAGATCGCAACCCGATTCTCTTTTCTCTCCGTCGCATTGACGTCGATCGCTTCTTCGTCGTGCAGTCGGTAATCGGCGGCGGTCCCGTTTGGACGCGCGAGCTCCACGCTCCGTCGCAAACTCAACTAATTGCTGTTACGTAATTTTCACGCGTTTTCGATCCCCGCGGTGTAGCGTCGATCATCGTAAAATGGAGAAAACACGAAACTCTCTCAGTTTAGCTAATTCGTTGCATCGACGAGTCGATAATGGCGAGAGGTAAGTTCACATCAGGTCGTTAAATATCGACAATCGCGTTGATTACGCGTATTATTTGGCACGAATCCATGAAAATTTATATCGCATATACTCGATTTCTCGATATATATTTTGCAGAAAAAAAAACCGGTGTTCTCTACATACATTTGAATTTTCAATAAGCGGCAATTGCGCATTAACGCAACACTTCTGCAGAATTTATGCACAAAAACGAAACACAATAATATCGAGTATTTTATGAGCGATTACGCGTCGACATATAGTTTTTACATCTCCGTTTCTATGCACATAAATGCACAAAAAAAAAAAAAAAAAATATATATATATATAACTATATATCTGATATGCTGCAAAATGAGAGGCGCGTCGTCAACGCGATGTATTGGATTTTTTTTCAAAATTCTAATCTCCATTTTGCGATATCATCTCTCCGCACCGAGAGCGGGGCAAAAAATCGTCATTGTCATAACAATGTGTTTTTCTGCGAGAAAACCCGAATCGATTACAAAGGTAGCGGAGATATGTTTCTGAACTTCGAAAGCAATAATCGAGCAACTATACGTGCGCACGAAGCTAATCGATTCGGCTGTGTTTTAATGGAATACCGCGGTCGCCGGAGAGACTTCCGATCATCTTTATTGGCAAAAGCTCAAACCTAAATTTCACGACGAAGATTTCCGAGACGAGAATACGATAATTCGGAAATCGAAGCTCGGAGTTGTAGGTATTTCGTATCGTCGAGCGTGTAAACGGGGAGACCTACTGTTCGCGCGCTTTACAACACCCTTCATCAAGAACCTATTCGAGCAAGACTTCGTCTCACGAGAAGAAGAATCCAACACACGCAGAGACGGTTTTCCTAGTTTTTAGTTTTTATTTGGCGATCAAAAAAAAAAACAAAAAAAAAACAAAAAAAAAACAAAATTATTTTCCACAAATCTCTTCACGTTGATTATTTATTTGTTGATTCTTACTCGGAATAGGTTCTCCATCTGTTTTAGATTTGCCATTAAGTCTATTGATTATATAATGAATTTTTCTGTTCAGGTTATCCGACAAATGTTGTACATATTTATGTTACTGCGACCTGTTTATGTATAATTTAGTATATAAATACAGTTCCTGAAGTTTACGTTAAACAAAAAAAAAATAAATAAATAAAGTAAAATAAAATAAAAACTCAGTGCGCGCGTGAAATGCGAACCTATAGCGTTGAACATATACATATATACAGTGTAACGAACCAATGTTCCGGTGCAGAAAGAGAGAGAGAGAGAGAGAGAGAGAGAGAGAGAGAAAAGAAAAAGCATAGAAACCGATCGATATATGTACAAAACATGCAATTGAACCGGCAAGTGGATGAAGAGAAGAAGCTTGTCACATTTCTCTTAAGCAAGTTAAGTTATTTGTACGAATTAAATGTTGTATTAATTCCCCTATGTTACACATATTTCCCTATTGTATCATACGTATCGATACGTGTAAAATGTATTAATCAACTTAGAGCTGTGATGGTTCTTAACGAAGAGAGAGTTAGAAGCCAGTGCGGATGAAGAGTATGTGTACAATATTAAGTCACATCCTAAATGTGTGTGAATATATTAATTTAAAAGCAACCCGCCACGTCATCTCGAGAGAAAAAGAGAGAAAGAGAGAGAGAGAGAGAGGATGTTATCATATCAAATATTTTTCTTCGTCCATCTGCTTCTTCAATTAACGATTCGCCTTTGATACATTCGCGTTCGTCGATCATCGGAATTTCCAAGCTGACGAAAAGCTTAATCGCTTTCGCTTTCGAATCAATCGCGTTTTATCTCAGTTTCCCCGAATATTTTGGAAACTTGCTCAATCCTTCCGCGTATTCATTTTTTCATGGCTCTTCCTTCGGAGAGCGTGCACACGCGGTCATCTCTGCGCTCGAAGCGACGCGAGCCTCATTGTCGACGAGGAAAAAAAAAAAACAGGAAAAAAGCAATAAAAGAAACATAAGAGGATAAAAAGAGGAAGAAGAAAAAAACAATGAACGGGCGGCCCAGGCGAGGTCGTGCGCGCGCGCGCGTCAAAAGTGTATCTAGACTTCTTATAACACGAGAATCGTGATATTCCGTGGCTTGTATTGTATATTGTACACTTCTTAGATTCTTCTCCTCCCTCCCCTCCCCCCCCCGACTCCTCCGACCCGCGTTCCCTGTCATCGAAGTCCCTCCGAGAAATCCACAGTGATTAAGGAATTATATATATATATATATATATATTAATTTAAAAATACAAAAATTCTGTGTGTACTCTCATTTCTCAAACTCCACCCTGTGCTGCGCGCGGCGGCCACAATGCAAATTCACGGAGCGCGAAAGATTTGCTGCAAGAAACGCCCGTCAGTCACACCCTCCCTCGGAGCGCGAAGGGAAATTTAAGCGGATATCGAACGTTCGGTTTGCGCGAATGCATGCTCTACCGGTCAACCGCGCGATACGGGCGCGTTTTATATAACGAGGAAACTTTTTGATTGCGCCGCCTCTTTTAATGAAAGAAACCGTTTCTGTTTTTTCTGCCGGAGAAGAGAGATAAGCGCGCAAGAACGCGCATCAGTATGGCGCAGGAATTTTAATCTCTCCGACCGATCGGTGGCAAAGAGGAGGAAGAGGAGGAGGAGAAGGAGGCCGGATGATTGTGATAATTACGATTTGCCACAGTGTGAAGATTTACCACGTGTTCTTTTTTTCACAATTCACAAATAAAATAATGGAAGTGCGCAATTGCAATTTTGGGAATTCGCGTAAAAATTGAGTATGTCAAAAATTTAAACGATTTTTACTGGCGTTTTTGACTGTTTGCGTGAAAAATTTGCGATAAAAATTCGCATAATATCTAAATTAAAATAATAATAATTCCGATATTTTCGGAAAGAGAAAAAATTTTAATATAATTACCGGCGCGCACTGCGACGCGTATTGCAAAAATATTGAACATGTCAAGAAACGATAAGAATTACTAAGATACCGAGGCAATTAACGATACGCGGTGTTTTTTTTAACGAAAGGTATTTTAGATAAATTTGCATTTCTGTTGTATCGCGGCGCGAAGGTGAATTCCGACGATTATGTAAATAAAAAAGTTAATGAACACGACCTCCGTGTTCGACGCAAACAGACCAACAGACGATTCCTTTGTGCAATTGCAAGACTATTGTCGCACAGTTAATTAGTCGTGTGCAAATTTCGTCACATCGTAAGTTTTTGTTGTTGTTTTTTTTTAACTTTAATGCGTTGCGATTTTAATGAGTAGCAGCAACCTGTGTCTCAAGTGGAAATCAAAACCACTTGTATATAATAACAATAAAAACATATTGATTATTTTATAATTTAATATCTCGCAAAAACAATATT